AGAGAAACGTGGAGTTGCTTTTGTAAGCGTTGAGATAGCACGTTTTGTACAAAATGTCATACAAGTCCATACTGCAGCTCTTGGACAAACTATTTCAAGTACTCTGTTCCTCTGAAGCTACTTCGTTAACTCTTGCAAGTGAGATTGATGCCTGGGAAGAAGAGGGGAGAGGCCGATGCTCACTCAGCTTGTCCTTGCCTGTTTCACGACGATGTGTAGCTTGCCTGATCTTGGCCTACTGCGAGGAAAATAGATCGAGAAGTCTAATTTTAGTCCTTAATGTAGTAACATAGCTTGAAGACGAGCTTGGTAGTTAAATCTAAGTATCTGTTAACCTTTTAGCTTTTTGAGGAGAATGTTGTTGAACAAGACCAGAGCAATTTTAACCCCTGTTAAATAAAGCCTCTAGAAATCTGTCATCCCTGAAGCGTATTTGTTAGTGTCAATGAGATTTGCAGTTAGGGATGAGGAATGGCAATGTAATTCCAGTTCTTCTTAAAGAATCATCATGATACAGTAAAAGTGAAGCTTGATGTAGAAATCTGTATTTTGCTGTAGAAAAATGTTAACACTAATACAAAGGGCTGTTGTGAGCAGATAATTCTGCCATGCAAAAGAGATCTAGGATAGCCTTAGGAAGCAATATTGTCTTGCTTCGTGCAAGAGTTTTAGTTTAGGTGGCTAACACTGAAGTTAGCGCTGATCTTGGAGTAAAGGGAGCGATTGGAGTCTGGTGCTGTAAGTGAGGGCTGGCCACCGCCTAGCAACTAATGGTGTCGTGTTGGCTCGGCTCAACTCAGATAAGGAACAAAAATATTTTCCTCCAAATCCAAATGGAAAAATATAGAGGTATTTGTGTGGGGCACCAGCAGTGTGTCTGGCGCAGGATGAGCTGACGGGGACGCTTGTTACCGAAGCATTTCAGAGCAAAGTGGGGGAGCTGGCAGCTGCTCCCGTTTCTTCTGGTGTGTTTTTAAGTAGCTACATTCAAACATGAAAAAATACATTGGACTGATATGAACATTAACAAAGAGAGAAAATTAAAAGCCCTGGTGTCCTTATGTCCCTCCCTTCTCTCTTTGGAAATGTGTCTGTCTTTCTCTTCAGTCTTTTGGTCAAAACATTTAGCAGATGCTTTGTTTCTTTTAGTGCTTTAAGAAAGTGAGTCTTTGAAATGACTCTGCCTTATGGGTTCACCAGGATTACATTTTATTCAGGAAAGAGTGTTAGTGTTTGGTTGATATTTAAACGCTCTTTGATCTTGAATGCCCTGTTCCTGCCTTTAAAGGATAGCAGCAGCTTTCAACAAGCAACAACCCTATTATTGCTTCCTATGCCTTTCTATTTGGTGTTACTGTGTAGAATGTGGAGATTAAAGGGAATAAAATAGTTACTTTCTGGCCCCCTAAATTCTCACTGTGTTTTTTCAGTAGGCTACAGCATTATTTGGATAATCAGCGTAACTGGCTGTGCTGTTTGATACATACCGTACTCATATACTGTCTTATTCTAATGTATGTAGCTGGAATCCATATATGTTTATGGTCTGTTATACAGCTCATACTGGCCTTGCAAGCTCTAATGCTGATGTGGAACAATACTGGGATGTATCTGTCAGTGCCAGCCAAATAATTTTGCAGTAGTAAAGGTGGTCTGACACAGGACAGAAGAGAGCCAAGTTACATTTATGAAATTTCTAACTTAAGCAACAATGCTCAGCATTTAAATCGTAACACAATAGTAAGAGAGTATAGTACGTATGATGATACCAGCATCTAGTTTGTTTTTATAGAGTTTTATAAATGCTTGTAATTATGTGAAGATCTGTGTATGTACTGTAGGATATGCGGAATTTATCAGGGTAAAGGCTGGAGCAGTTTCATGCTGTTTGCCCCACAGGTTTGACTGCAGACGGTCTCAGGTGTCTCCCTCTGGCCATGGTTTGTCAGACAGCAAGAAATCCAACACAGGGCTATGTTATCTTTCTGAGTCTAACCACCATCCTTGTAATTTTTCCTGTGCTGTAGCAGAACAAGTTCAGTATTTTTGCTCTGACCTTTTGAGAAAATTTTCCTCCATCTCTACTTGATACGCAGTTTTGTTTCTTTTAGTTTAGCGAGAGGCAGACCAGAGGCTCTTCCATTCCTGTGAATAGCTGGGCACCAGTGGTTCTGCCCGGCAAGGTGCTAGTTTTATGTTAGACCAGTGCTATTTTGGCATAGGGAATGAAAACAGAATGTGACCTTTAAATGTAAATTTAGCCAAAATAAAACAAGACTGATGGGCGATATATAAACATTGGAGGATGAATTTTGTAGTTAACATCTGCTGACTAAGCAGGATTAGAAATCTCTTTATTTTGGCAACAGTTAGGACTCTGATCATTGCAGCAGTCTGTTGAACCAAATGACTGGAGTGTTCTTCCCCCAGTCAGGAGGTTTGTTTCTTCCCAGTTACATCTTGCACCATGTGATTGGTTTTTATTTCGCTCCAGTGACTTCTCACTTTTGTTGAAAGTGCCAAGTTCTTAAAACCTGTCAGAAAGTCTCTTCCTATTTCATTGTCTTTTCTTCTAGGTGTTGGTTCAATAGCCAGTTATCTGCAGCTTTTCTTGACCCATCAGGTCATTTTTCTGTGTCCCAAATCTCCAACCTCCCCCCACCCCTTGATGCTTTCCAAAATTTTCTGGAACAGTTCTTAAACATTTCAGAGATGATTTGTGGAAAGACATTGCAAAAATTTAATGCGTCTTCATGGCTTTAATACAGGAACTCTGCAAATCTAATTTTGGTATGTTTAAGAGGTTACTGTTTCCAACCACCTACTCAGCCCTTTGGTCAGTAATTTCCAATCCCTTAGCAGATTCAGTAAAGAGGAATGCGTGGATGTGGCTTTCTGATCCTGTGAAAAGCTCAGTGTTTCAATTCAGTCCCTTCTCAACTTGACTGAAGATGTTGGACTTTGCACTGAGTCAGGGCGTGGGCACAGGTTCCGTCTGCTGTCACTGTCACCAAAGAGGTGGCTTTTGGTGGAGAGGTGGGATTATGCAGCCATACAGGAGGTGGTTTTGCACCGCTCTAGAAAGGCTCATCAAAGCCCATAGCCCACTTCAATATTTTAGTACCCTTTCAGTCTGTCAAGGGGAAAGGGGGGTGATGCGTGCATGCGGTGCTGCATGCCTTCTCTTAACATGTACGTTGCTCAACATTATTTGAATACTTCACCTCTACAAGCGAGGGAAAAACGTAATAAACAATTCCTTCCTCTAGCATGCGGCTAGCTCTCATATGACAGGGCTTTGGTAGGGGATTATCGGATTCAAGAAAATTAAACTCTTTTCAGCCTTGTGTTGTGATCTTGCTTACAAATAAGCATAACATTAGATGTTTAAGAAACTTGTTATTTGCCACTTTTAAGCCTTTCACAGCCGGCAAAAATTGTTTCTTTTGCTGTCCGCTTTATGAACAGCCTTTCAGCCCACGAGACGTTTGAGTTGGAATACTCATGTTTCCTTTCGCATGGGAATTATGTTGCTTTTTCCTTCAACTTTCTTACCCTTCTTCATTTGACCCTGTGCAGCAACCTGCTGCTTCGTATGTTGAAGGGTACACATACAGTCTTTAGAAGCAGCAGCATAGCATCACAGGGAACGTCGCTGTTACACAATAGGTGAGGAAAGGACTAATGAGAAATGGATGAAAAGAAAGGAATGTGGAATGTCAAGGAACAGAAAGCATTTTTTTCATTTTAGGTTGTGTCTTGCTGTTTGTAGAGTATTTGTGACTTATCCTTTTAAGTGGTTGAACTGAACTTTCAGTGCAGCATTGTATGTCGAAGTTGTACTTGACTATGACACAGGATAAAACACATGATGTGTTGGATGCAGGACCTATCATAAAGTTGTTTTAACAAAAAAACCAAACAACCCTAAAACAAGAACAACAAAAAAAGCCCAAGTTTGTACTCTTTTAGCTCCAGTTAATATTAAAGAACAAAATGCTTAGCTGGTCAGTTAAAAGAGTTGTTCTTAGCCCTTCAGAACTGCATGTGACAAGAAAAAGATTATAGATTAACTAAATATTTCAAATTGTCCTTAACCTTGGCTGACAAGAAAAATGTGAGTAAAAACTTTACTACTGGGTAGGAGTGTGGCAGGACATGCATCCTTTTTTTCCATTGAGCAATTCCATCCTTCCAGAACTCACGACGTTCCCAACCTGCACATGTCACTACAACAGAAGAGTGTGTGTACACTGCTTATTTACAGATTTATAAATCTTAATAAGGGTTTATAATGATGATATTGTAGCTGAATATAGAGTCTGATTACTTCCTGAGGGATGTAAGAGTGCAGCCCTCTGACCCCAAATTGTCAAACACTAATAGGTAAAAATTGGGTTGAAGAAAATGTTTTATACAAAATTAATTAATTATACAAAATTAATTTTAATGTCGCGCATTTAACTTAACTAACTTTTGGTATAGTTTAACTCCATGGAATTTCTAGTTCCAGTGCAACAACTCTTTTAAATTTGGTTTATGTATAAATGATTCACTAGCAGAGCTATCTATGTAAAGTATATAGAAAATCCGAAGATGCATATTTGTGCTGACAAATATACCGGTGAATTTAGGTTAGCAGAGTAAGACAACTGGCACAACTTACTCTGAGTGTTGTGCCTTAAACTTCTGTAGTTACAGATCTGTTTGTATGGCCTGTGCCCTAAATTGTGGTATAGTGAAGCATAAGAATAGGTCTAATACTATACACATGATCACACTTGCTTTCTACCATACAGCCTTGTATAAAGAAATCCATGCGACAAATTCCCAGATGAGATCAGAAGAGGGTTAGACAATATCGGATGTCTTGTAATGTCCTTAGGCACACCTGTGTTAAGAGTTTCTTGTAAAAGTTGATTATTCTAGGGGTAGGAGGATCTTCCAGCCTTCTTAAAATGATTCCCTAACCTTCAATCTATGCTTTTTTTTCCTTGCAGACCTTTCAGCAGCCCAGAGAAAATTTGCCCATTCTCTGAGAGACTTTAAATTTGAATTCATTGGTGATGCAGAGACAGATGATGAAAGATACCTAGGTAGGTAAGAAGTGACTATAAGTGGCTATATTTTGCCATGCCATCCTGCAACATAACTAAACTTTTTTTCTGGTTTTGTATTACAGATGCATCGCTTCATGAGTTTTCAAACTTTTTAAAAAATCTGGAAGAACAAAGAGAAATTTTGGTGAGTTGCAATAAAAATTTTAAAAAGCGGTACATGTAGCAGAGAGTAAGATGAAAGTCAGTTCAAGTTGCTTACTGCTTTGTTAACCACCAAGATGTTCATATCAATAACAACAGTGAAAGCTCGTATTGTGCAGCCTCTGATTCTGTAGTCTAGAGTTACAGACAGCAGCTAGTTCTCATTAAAGGCGGCGGCTGTTACACTAAGGACAGGTAACTATGAGTTGGTTTAAAATGGTAATGCCCTGATAAATTATGGCTGGGGTGAATGGGAAAAACCATCGTAAGGTTGTTTACCATTTACAGTAAAAAGCAAGATGAAAGACTTAATGCTGCAGCAGGACACCCAAAGTTGGGAAGTTGGCCAGATTTGGATCCAGGATCTCTGGCTCCAGCTTCAACACTTAAGTGGATTTGGGATGCAATCTGTTGGCTGGATGCAGTAGCAGACTTACAAACCTTTTCCTTGTAGGTGAGCTTTCTGGTGGAGGGTTGCATCTGCAAACATTTAGTTGCTCTGCTGTGTAGAAGGGAGCGTTCTTCATTCACGTGCCTGTGATTGCTTAGGGTTCTAGTGTAATATGGATCAGGTTGGCTGCACATAGACTGTGGGCTGAGAGCTCTGCAATACACCTTGCTATATTGATTTCTTAAGTTGTCCAGAAGATGGGGTGTTTCTTTCTGGATGGTACCATGGTTCTCCTCTGCAGTTGCATGCCCAGCTTTCGTTTCAGAGCAGGGATTCATAGAGCAGATGATGTGTACCCAGTTTTCTTCTGAGTGTGGTCAGACTCCACATCTAGGAAATGCTCTTAGATCTGCCTAGATAGCAATTATGTTCCTCAGTATTTGCCATGTGATTATATCTTCATCTTCCTGGAAACCAGTGGCCACTTGGCATCGCTCAGAGGAAACTGAGACTAATCTGTGTTCTGTGCCAGAAGCGGTGCCTGCAGTGTAGTAGTATGTAGATAAGTGAGAAAAGAACTTGTGAACAATTTAAAAAATAGCAAAAACCAAACAACAAACTCTCTCTGGCAGTCCTGAGTCCAGTAATAGTCATGATTCCTCGAGTGTGCCGTGTTACGTCCTGGTATGTCGTTCTGATCTGGAACCACATTTGGGTCAGAATTAGGGTCTATGTAGTTCCTTGCACATTCTTGAAGAGTGTCCTTTACATGTCCTTTACACAGTAGAGACAATTTTTCAGTATCTTGGGTTGTTTTGCTACGTTGTAGGGATTTGCTCAAGTATGTTTGAATGCTGCTTTTGTTTTTCATAATTCTGAAGTATAGTCTTTACTCTGCCTTTTCTTGTCTGCCATCCATAGCTGTATTTTATTTTAGTGAAGTTGCATACATCTAGTAGTGAAAGTCTTTGGGAAGTTTTACAATGAAAAATACTTTATAGCCTGTCACATTATTTTCCACACTATTTTGATACCAGGTTTTTGAGAGATGTCAGCTTCAGGACTTCAGAATTGTGTGGCACGTTTCAGTGACTGTCTCAATAGATCTTCAGCAGTAATAGATTAACAGCGTAGGCTGTACAGAATCCAGTGCTGGCTGGCTGTATAGTAAAACACTCTGTTTTTCAGATTGAATGACACAAAACAGTATTAGTTATTTTTTTGATATGCTGCCCATGCTTACACAGAAGGCATTATCACACTAAAAGCTAATTAATGTCAGTTTCTTGATAAGAAAAGTATGAAATTCAGTTTCTGTTAGAACAGTGACAGTTTGATGAAAAACTGGGGAGTATAAAATATTGTGGGGCAAATATTTAATTCCAAACAGAAACAGAACATATTCTCTGAGTTACCAGATGCGTGGCCATTTCATTGCATCTGTAGTCTAGCAGACGTTATGTGTCCTTTCTAGAATGAGTTAATATAACAGTGGCCCTAAGTCTCTGAGCAAATGATTGTGCGGTGACTGGTAAAGATAATTTTCAGCGTCTGCTGCTCTGACTTTTTTTTTTTTTTTTTTTTTTTCTGACTTTGCAATAGATGTTTTAACAATGGCACGAGGTCTAGGGATACTCCCACGGAGAATATTAGGGCATGTTGCACTCACAGATGTTTGGAATCAGGTCAGGGATCCAAAGACTTTCCATTAAGATGCAAAGTATATAGCAGGATTTTTTTCAACAGTGTTCAGTCGTCTTTGTTAAGAATACTCTTTATTGAGCATTTTCCCCCTTACCATTTTGAAGATGACCAGAAGGTTTCTGATTGCTCACTTCAGTTTCAGTGCAAAATTGCAGATAAATTTGGGTAACATAAAGTGAAATTAAAGAAATCAATGAACAGTTATAGAACTAAGAGCATTTCAGATGTTGCTGTGCATTTTAATTTTTAGATATTTGAGAAAAACGTTATTTTTTTCACAACCATATGGTAAATGAACCAAATGTGCGCTTAAAATACATTCTAAACTGAAATTAAATGCTCATCACCTACACTTTTCATGGTTTTCTGATAGTATTGTTTGTGGTGTATCCGGAGTCCATAAAACTTTCTATTAGTGTTTACCATAAATTTACTTGTTTGGTTATCATTTGTCTGGTGAATATTTATTTGGTGGATATTTAATAATTTAATTCAGATGTTGGAGTCTTGCACTTCATGTTTTTACCATTTTTCCTATCTCCTTCAAAGGCTGCCGAAATTATATCCCAACTGTCAAAGGATTTAGTTGCTTGTGAAAAGGGAAGTTGGCATTAATCCAAATTATTACGGAGTGGCCAATACAAAAACAAATTACGTTTTTTCCATAGCACCGTAGCTTGGTGACATTCTCCAGGGCAGATAGGAAATAGGTCACTTTGTCCCTGAGGATATTCTGAAAATGATTTTTATGTGTTAAGCACGAATGGAGTCATAGGACTTACATTCTGCTCCTTTGACATTACAAAAGTGTCATGGAAGTGCAGGGATGAAAGGGAACTTCACAAGGCTAGTAGGAGAAAGTTGGGGACAAATAAGCATCAACATGGTGATGCTGAGGTGCTCTGTCCCACTACCTAGCCATCCTTCTGCTTGCCAGGGAGAGCACCAGACCTCCCTCCCAGGCCCAGTTCTCCTGACAGCAGAAGCAGGTTTGATTCTTGTGGTGGGCTCAGAACAACAAGCTTCGCTGGCTGCCCTCGTTTAAGCTGTGGTGATGAGCAGTGCAGGGCTACCTGGTAGGTACTGATCGCCTGTGGTTGTTACCCCTTTTCCTCCTTCTTCACCGTCCTTTTTACCACCTTCATACCTCCCTTCCTCCATCCTAGTCTCCCAAATGAGCAGCCTGCCGTAATTAGTTTTCCCTCTTGATTCCAGTCTTGCTAAATCATAACCAAATTTGATAGCGCTTGTACTGTTCCCTCAGTAATCTCAGCAGTACTTGGCACTACCGGTGCAGTCACCCTGGTATGCTGGCTGCGCATGCTTCCACTCCCTGGAGGTCCTCTGTCCTGCCCTTCAGCTGCTTCTGGAATTCAGCTGTTTCTCACATAACTCTCCCTTAACCACACTGGAAATCCAGTCACCCCTCACGGCGCTGTCTGTAACTTTTGTCAGCTTCTCTCACAGTTACGGCCCGTGTCTGGCAATCCCTCGGGTCCTGTCTAGTAGTTTCTCATGCCCTATTCAGTTAGTTTACTCCCATCCCAGGGCTGAGGGAGTTGGCTGCACTTGCCTGCAGCCCTGCCAGAGGTGTGACTTGCGGCAGGGTCATGTATACCTAGATGATCCCTGATGAGTGCTGGTCTAACCTATTCTTTAAAAAAGTTCCAGGGACAGGGATTTCTCTAGTTTTATTCCAATGTTTATTCTTCTATTTTTTTCACCTGATATCCATCCTAAGTCTCCTTTACTGCAAATTAAGCTGGGAACTTTTTGGGAACTTTTCTACAGTAGTCATGGAGTAAAATTGATCACTTTTCCTTCATAGTAGTATTTTCACTGTTACCCTTTCAAAGTGGTGTTTTACATCTGTATTTTTCCTTATTCAATTTACCTACACTGAGTTTAGACCATCTCTGTTTTATGTCAAAATTATTTTTAATCCTGCTTTCTGAAAGCACTGACATTTTCTCTTGGGTTTATGTCACTCCACATGTATGTTAGTCTGGTGGAGTTATTGGTAGGTCACTCCATAAATTGCTACTGAAACTTGGATCATGCAGGAAACTTGGTTGTAGTTTTCTATATGATGTTTGAAATGTCCTCTTAGCTGAACAGGTATTTTTCAGGGTAGTTTTGCAACCAGGATGTTGTTTTCTCATTCTTCCTGTGGTTTATTTGTTAAGACCGAGTCGCCACCTTTGCTTTTGAGAATGTCGTGTGGGTCAGCATTGAAGACTTCATTGAGGAGATCGGCTACTGTGCTGATGTCAGAAAGGAAACTAGATGTTGTTCTTAACAAATTCAAAGTAGCTTTTAACTTTCTATAGTGTGTTCCAGGACTTTTGAGTATCAGAGTTGCTATGTCTGGTCTGTAACTTTCTCAGTTCCTGCTTTCTCCTCCTCTTCTCACTTTTAAGTTGCTGCTGTGTTTGCTCTTCTACCATCTTCTGGGACCTTGCTGCCTCTCCCTTTAGTCTGCTTTGCTGAGTTCCTCAACCACTCTAAGGCAAAACCCCTTCTGACTTGAATGCAATTAATTCTTCAGTTGCATAATGTAAGAATACATCTAATTGTTCTTAAGAAATTCTTACTCTCCTTAACATCCATTTTTTTCCCCACTTTGTTAGATGGCTTGCTGTAATTAGAGAACTGAGATTTTTCTTTTTTCCTTTGTGAAGGTTATTAAAATCTGCCATTGTCTTACAGTCAACTGTTGGTTTGTTTTAACTCTTTCCACCTAAATAACAGTTTTATAGCTTCCTTTCTCTCTGTTTTCTGAAATACATATTAAGAACCCCTTTTCTTTAGGGTTTTCTTTGCCCCTTGCTAAATAAAACGTGTTTTTGCCTTAGTCTTTCTAACTTTGTCCCTAAGTACTTGTGTAT